AACCTGGAATGCACAAAGACAGATGCTTTCAATTTCATTCAGAGGGAGAGGAGATGTAGAATTGAAAATGGTGATGCGAATGCTTTATTGCAGTTGTTTGCAGAGATGTGCCGAGGATAGCATGTTTGAATGGGATTTTGAAACTCATGTGAGCGGCAAGCTGATGAGTTTTTGTTGGAGCGACGGGACATCCAGGCTTCATTATGACTGCTTTGGAGATGTGATTATATTTGATACGGGTTATAAGTTAAAAAAATATAACATATGTTGTGCTCCTATTGTTGGTGTTAACCACAATTGGCATAATGTTTTATTTGGAGTCAGATTCTTGTCGGAGGAGACGACAAACTCGTTCAAATGGCTTTTTAAAACCTTCATCTGTATCATGGGTGATAATCATCCAATAACAATCTACACTGATCAGGATCAGGCTATGACTAGAGCAATAGCAGAAATTTTGCTAAATACATGACATAAATTATGTCAGTGGCACATATACAAGAAATTGCCTACAAAGGTTCATTGCAGCGTGTGAAATAGGATTGTCAGTAATCTTTTTTCATAAATGCTTGAGCAAATGCGAGTCTGAAGAGAAATTTGATGATACATGGAGGGTGATGATTGAGACTGGTAATCTCCAAGACAATATTTGGTTAGATGATATGTACAAGATTAGACATAAGTGGTCAACAACTTTTAATAAGGATGTATTTGGAATGAGAATTTTATCGACTCAGAGGAGAGAGTCAACTAATAATATGTCATGGTGTCTCAAAACCTAATAGTTCTATTACAGATTGTTTCTTGGGCATTGAAAATGTAATGAGAACATGGAGGCGAAATGAAAAGAACGAGGATTTCAAATGTGATCAATCTATGATTACTCCTGTTGCGAAGAGCAGCCCAATACTGAGGCAGGCAACTGCATTTTATTCAAGGAAGCTGTACACAATGTTTGAGAAAGAATTTATACACGGGTCCTGTGGTCTTCAATTACATGCATCTACAAACAATGAGAATGAGTTTTTCATTAAGAATTTGGATGATCACATGTTCAACACTACTTGGGTTGTTCACTTCGACAGTTCGAGTTTGGATATAAAGTGCAGCTACAGGAAGTTTGAAATGATGGTGCTACTATGTTCACATTCTCTTAGAGTCTTAAACTTTCTACATATTAAGAAGATACCCGTTAAATATTTATTATTGAGATGGTCTGAAAATGAAAAAAGAGATGTGTATTACAGTTCTTAGTACATGCATCTGCAATAGTCACAATCCTCGCATGATATTAAAGACGACCTAATTTTCCAAGCACACATGCAGAAAGTAGCTTATCAGTGCACCCAAAAAGCAAAGGGCAATCCAGAAGCTGAGTAGCGTATGAGGGAGTCAATGAAGAAACTGTCATTGGATATTGATGACATACTGGTTGGTAAAGGTTTTAGAGGTAGGAGCGAACAAAAGAAAAATAAAAAGCCTGTCAACAATGAATCAAATCTGAATGATCCTGCCAAAATGCGGCCGAAAGGTATATCTAACGCGAGACTAAAAGGGTATTGGGAGAAAAATAAAAGATCTAAAGGTATATTTGAAAACTCTAACCATTTTTCTTATGTTTCAACAGACCATTAATTTTTAGCCATAAATATTATATATATAGGAAAACAAAAAAATGGTTTAACAACCGAAGAACCAGAATCATCATAGTGTCATCAACCCATGTGCTCACTTCCTGATTTCCTAACACAGGTTCAAATTTATTGGTGATTTGTTGGATTTCATATGTTGTTTGGGGTGGTTTTAAGTTTTATCTAATACATTGTTATCCATTGCAGAATTCCTTTGATCCACGGAATAAAGAATCCTTCACTGTCATTTTGACAGAGTCAATCAATGCGGCAACAATGCCTCCATGGAGTGAATTTCAGTAAAAGATGTGGGCATCATAGCTGTAGATGAATTTTATCTTAAGCAAATCATAGGTGTAGAAGAATTTTATCTTGTGCATATAAGTGGATGTTAGGATTTCTTTCTTTTAT